CCAGTAATGGTCTCTCTTACCCACGTTTGTGGAGACCGAAACTTGAGATATTGTTTGGAGATTTTCCCAGAGTAAAATCTGGATTGGAGGAAATAGACATAAGAGAATATGACCCTTTGGAAGAGGCCTAAAGGATCAGACCAGTTCATGATCCTATGTGAATCTAGTCATGGGGAGCCTTGGAAGAAGAATTATACTTTGACATCATGGACTTCATTTGATTGCTAAATCCTATGAATTGTCTACCTCTATAACATCTCTTGCATCTACATCCTTTTCTCTTCTCTCATGGCTACCACTCTATTTCATGCCTTTGCCTATGTTATTGAAATTCTTAATAGGACTTTTGGCTCTCTCTTCTCCAATCCGCTCTCCTATACAGCTACCAATATTCTTTTTTTTTTTTTTTTTAGACAATTGGGGTTAAGGGACTTGCCCAGGGTCGCACAGCTAGTAAGTGTCAAGTATTTGGTCTGAGGCCGGATTGGAACTCAGTTCCTCCTGACTTCAGAGTCGGTGCTCTATCCACTGCACCACCTAGCTGCCCCAGCTACCAATATTCTTAAAGCCCAGGTCTGATGAAATCACCCACTTCTCAAGAATCTTCAGGAACTTTCTAGTGTTTCTTTGATAACATGCAAACTCCTGAGCTTAGCCCTTAAAGTTTTCAGAATTTGGATCTAGTCTTTCTTTTTTTTTTTAGATAATATTTTATTTTTCCCAATTACATGTAAAGACAATTTTTAACATTCATTAAAAATCTTTTTAGAGTTCCAAATTTTCTCCCTCCTTCCTTCACCTTCCCCCTACCTGAGACAGTAAGCAATTTGATATAGGTTCTACATATGCAATCATGTAAAACAAATTTCCATATGAGTCATGTTGTGAAGGAAGACGCACTCTAAAAGGGGAAAAAACCCCACCAAAAAAAAAAATGAAAAATAGGAAGCTTCAATCTGCATTCAAACTCTATCAGTTCTTTCTCTGAATGTGGGTAGCATTTTTCATCATGCATTCAGCCTGTCTTTCAAGAGAGACTTCTTATTCCTCACTTTTTCCCACTTCACATCCTACTTGGCCTACTTGCTGTTTCCTGGACTCAACATTTCATCTGTTGTCTCTTTGCCCCTGTGGGCAGGCGTGCTTTTCATCACATCTGGAACGTGCTCATTCCTCACCTCCACCTCTTAGAATCCTTAGCTATCTCCTTGGCTCAGCTCATGTGCCGCCAGTCATGGGAAGCCTTTCCTCTTCCCCCTTAGTTCTCTCTCCTTCCTCAAACTATTTTGTTCTTAGTTACCGGTTTACTTATGCGCATCCCCTAGTGTAAGGTAAACTCCTACAAAACCGAGGCTGTTTTTCTTTTTCTTTTAAGCTGTATTGTATTTTTATTTATTTTGTTAAACATTTCCTAATTACATTTAAAATAAATTTTTATCTATGTTGCTGTTTCCTACACCATCATAGTTATCCTAATTATCCCCTCCCTCTCCCCAAGAGCCAGCCCTATATGACAAATAGTATGTTTAGAGAGGAAAAAACAATCACCACAATGGTTTTTTGTTTTTGTCTTTGTATCACCTCATGTAGTGTCTTGCACACTGTAGGTGCTTAATAAATGTTTGTTAAATTAAATTGGATTGAATTGTTCTGTACTAATTGCTGCGTTGTCAGTGGTTTGGGAGCTTTCCAACTAGCTGATAGAGGCTGAATCCAGCAGCAGTTTACTCTTGCTCAGACCTAAACCCAGGTCAGAAACTTGTACAGCTCAGACTGGGGAGCAGTAATCAGACTTTGCCTTGGATCAGATCACTCTCAGAGGACTGAAAGCTTACAGGTCCCCAGACTGTCCCTAAGGTATTGGAATAACACAAGACTAAATACTCCAAGAAAGTAGCAACAGGGCCAGCCTAGACCTTCCCTTCAGAAGTACACAGAGATCAGCCCTAACTAACAACAAGACCCTGGAAGAATAGGCAAACAAACTGCAGACTCCCTGCCATAATGAGCTATTATGGTGACAGGGACACTCCAGACACAAAGGCAAAGGAGAATGATTCCAAAACATCTGTAAGTATTGCTTCAGAGAGAAAACACAGCTTGGGCACAAAACTAATTAGAATTCTTGGAAGAGATGAAGTGAGACTTTTCTTAAAAAGCTAAAAAAAAATTTAATAAATGAAATGAGACTGTTTGAGGAAAAAAATGGGAAAAGAGATGAGAACGAAGGAAGGAAGAAATGGAAAGGGAAATTATATGTTTGGCACAAGAGGGATAAAATTTTGTCCAAGCAATAAACTGTTTAAAAATTAGAATGGACCGAGTAGAAGCCAATGACTTCATGAGGCAACAACAGGAAATATTAAAACAAAGACTTTTAAAAAACTGAAAAAGTAAAGGAAAATCAAAGATACCTCAGGAAAAAAAAATGGATGTGGAAAACAGATTGAGGAGAAAAAAATTTAAGAATCATTATACTATGAATGTCATCATTAAAAAAAAGCCTAGACAGCCTATTTCAAGAAATCTGAAAAGAAAATTACCTAGAACTCTGAGAACTAGAGGGCAAAAGGGAGCTAGAAAGAATCCATTGGTTACCTCCTGAAAGAAACCCCAAAGGGAAACATCATAGCCCTAGGAACATTACAGCCAAAATCCAGAGCTCCCAGGTCAAAGAGAAATTGCTGCAAGCAGCCAGGAAGAATTGAAGTACTAAGGAGCCACAGTTGGGATCCCACTTGATTTAACAGCCACCACTATAAAGGAATAGAGAACTTGGAGTGCGCTATTACAGAAAGCAAAGGATATGAGCTTACAGCTGAGAATAACTTACCCAGCAAAACTAAGTATAATCCAAGGTGGGAGGGAGAAGGGGAGGAAATGGATCTTTAATGAAACAGAGTACTTCAACAATCCCTAGGGGGCAGCGAGGGGTCTCAGTGGATAGAGCTGAGTTCAAATCCAGCCTTAGACACTTACTGGCATTGTGATCCTGGGTAAGTCTTAACCCTGCATTAACCTCAGTTTCCTCATCTGTAAAATGAGCTGGAGAAGGAAATAGCAAACCACTCCGGTATCTTTGCCAAGAAAACCCCAAATAGGGTCACAAAGAGTCGGACAGGACTGAACAACAACAAAATATTCCTAATGAAAAGAACAAAGATTTAGAGAAACTTTGAAGTTCCAACTCAGGAGTGAGGAGCAACATTGAAAGGTACACATGAATGAAGAATGATAAAAGACTAAACAAGGATAAACCACATTCAAATATGGGAAGATAATACGTGTGGATCCTATAAGCAAAATCGTTGTTAGCGTTCATAGAGGGAATTCAATTAGGCAAGGCCTGGGAGTGGTTCTGTTATGTGCTGATGAACTTAGAGAAGAATGGAAAGAGAGGGGAAGAGGGATACATTGAGAGTTGGTGGGGGTGGGGGGTGGGAGGGAGAGGAAAGTTATGGAAAATTATCTCACATAATGGGGTACACAAATAGACATTTTTTACAAAGAGTAGGAGGTGGAGGGGAGCAGTTGACACTTGAGCCCCACTCGCATCTGAACTGGTCAAAAGAAGAAAGAATACACATGCACACACACACACACACAATTGGGAACAGAAACATGTTTCATTTAACAGGGAAATAGGAGGGAAAGGGGAGAAGAGAAGAGTAGGACTTGGAGGGGGGATTAAGGGAGAGATTAGTCCTTAGCAAAACTAACTCTAAGGAAGAGCAAAAATATTGATATCTTTTTTCAAGGTGGTGAAAATGGGAATCTGAGGGGTTGTCCACAAATTGAGGAATAGATGAACCAGTTATAGCATATGGATGCAGCAGAATACCATAGAGCTGAGGTCTTATCAGTGTAATGACTAATCAGGATTCTAGAAGACTAATAATGAAACATGTTAGATAGAAAGGTCAAAGACTCAGAATGCAGAATGAGACAAATATTTTTTAGGACACGGCCAATGTAGACATTTGTTTGGATTGACTATACATATGTGTAATGGGCTTTGTTTTTCTTGGGTTCTCAGTGGGGTTAGGAAGATTAGGGTGGGAGAGTGAGAAGGTTAATCTTGGCTGATTAAAAAAATAGCTGATATCAGTGCTGTAGTATTCAGATGGTCCATCTCTTATTCGTCATTCTTGGTGCATGACTGATCCACATGTGTTACATGTTCTCAAAACCAGTGTTTGTTTTTTTTGTTTGTTTTTGTTTTTAATGATACTTGTGCACAAATCATTGTTGGCAACAGGTTGTAATCTTCATATACCCGTCATGTACTTTTCCATTGCTATCGAAATACATTTCTGAATAGTGAGAACAACCTGGCAGGGAGCAGCTTGAAATGGAAAGTAATTCATGATGACAGGTTAAAAATAGTTATTTAACTCCAGGACGAAGAAAATTTCATGCAAAATGCCTATAATTCTATTATTAAATGTCCATGGAACACAACTTTTTGCACATATTTGGTCATCTTCACATGGCCAAAGGAAATCAGAAGTTTGTCAACAATCTCAGGAATATAAAGAGTAGTAATACCTCAAGTCGAATTTAAAATTAAAAAACTACTTTGAGAAAGAAAAAGTATTTTTGTAAAGTTAGCAGGGAGTTGATCAGGGGTCCCTTTTTGTATCAATTTCTAATTTCTAAGCTTTATTCCTTTAATTCAATTGATGAAATTATACAATAGAAAGGGAAGATCACCAACCTATGGGGACCACTGATAAACTTAGGCTATAGTTAAGGGGGGGAAAAGATGAGGAACAAAAGAACAGTAAAAAGAGAGTAGAAAAGGGAGAAAAGATGGAGAGAGATGGAAGAGAGAATGAGGGATGTAAGTAATGGTAGAAGCAGGGGTAGGGGTGGGGGGTAATGTCTTGGTGTTCTATGTATGCCTTAGGGTTTTGTTCATTCCCATATGACTTTTCAGGTTTAATTAAGGGTGGAGATTGTCTTTTTCAGAAACTGTTTTTCTTGATTTTTCTTATTAGGGCTGGATTTTGGAAGGCATTCCTGAAACTCGAGAACAGGCATTGATGATACAGACTTGTGGAATCTCTCCCAGGCATGTCAGTAAGTAGCATTCAGTCTCAGCCTCACATGACATCCACATTTCTCCAATACAGAAACAAAATAGAAAGTCATATCTTTAACCTATTTTTTCCCCACCTTCTCTTTCTAGTTGTGCTGAGTGCTCCAGACACTGTCCTGATTGAGAGAAATTTGGGCAAACGGATTGATCCTTTTAATGGAGGTAATGTTATTGTGAGCTCCTTGAGAATGGAGACTGCCTTTTGCCTCTTTTTGTATTCCAGGAACAAAGTAGATGCTTAATCATTATTTATTGACTGACAAACTGACTGACTTAATCCTACAGATAGGTCTTCTCTAATGCAGAGTTTAAAACAATAGTATGGTGGATGCTAATCATACCAAGATGGTAGAATCAATCTTCTAAGGAAACCATAGCTGTGTTATGGTAACCTTTCTTTCCTTTGCCCTGGTTCTGTTCTTAGATTCATAAATCCATAGACTCATAAAATGGGAGACACAAGTCTAATTCAGCACTTCCCAAACTTACTTGACAATTCAATTAAACAAATATTTATTAAGCACCTACTGTGTATGGTTTTTGGTACTGAGTATACATAGGCAAAATGAAACAGTCTTTGCCCTCAACTGGCTTACATTCTATTAGAAGAATTTAACTTGTGTACAGGTAAGTATATTACAAAAAGAGTTGAGGAAGGACAGAACCTGATCAATTGTGGAGATGAGGGAAGGCTTCATAGAGGAAGTGGCACCTGAGTTGATCCCTGAAGGAAGACAGGCATTCTGAGAGGTGAAGATGAGGAAGTACATTGGGAAACAGCTTGAGCACAGAGTTGGGAGATAGAATATTGAATTTAGGGGAACAACTAGTAGTCCAGATTGGCCTTAGAAAATTTTTGGGTTTGAAACAAATTCCCATTAAAGCATGAAGTCCTTGAGAACAGGCAGTATCTTGCTGTTCTATTTGTTTCTCTGGGTTTTAGCATAAGCCCGGGCATATTGTAAGCACTTAAATGCTTCATTCATTCATTCATTCATTCATTCATTCATTCATTCATCCAGGATAAGGTCTATCTCAGGTCTAGGACCTCATCCATCCATCCATCCACTCCAACATTTTGACTTTATGTTATGGAGCAGAAAGATGAGGACTTCCTTTCCATTTGGCCTTAGGACCGTATTATAAGCAGGAAACTCATGGTAACTGCATAAACAGCTGGTGGCACTTGGGGGAATATATCAATGATGTGAGATTGTGATTTCAGGGGTGTGGTTTTATGTCTGTAGGCTATTGTTGGTCAACTGCACATCTACCTTAGTGAATGGAGCAGGGGAATACATGAAGATGTTAATTGTGTCAGAGCCTCTTCCATCTTTTGAGGAAGGGAACCTTCTAGGGACCAAGGGAAATAGCTTCTCCTTTCCTTCTCCCTGGAGAGCCAATGTCTGAGAGAAGTGGGGAACAGTGGCATAGATAATCCAAAGTGGTAAATAATTCACAAAATCATTTATATTAGGCTTGGGAACATATTGCAACAGTTAATTTTGTTTTCTATCATTTTCTTTTTTTTGGTATCACTTTCTTAATTAAGTTTTGCTTGCAATGAATGTCTCCACTAGTCTTCCTTAAGGAGTCAAGTTGGTTTCTGGCTATCTTTTAGATAGGGCTATGTTTTCTTCAGTTGTAGTCTGTGATTGTTCACCCCTTCCAAATGTACTGGGGTAGAAATAAGTTGAATTCATGCTTCATCTTTCCCAAGAGAAGACCTGGGGACTGAACTAAGAACTTGTCCACTCTGTCCCATATTTATTGAATGAATAAATGTTGGATCATAACCAAACAATATAGATGAAAGATTTCTAAACTTTATATCAGCATAAATTTAGGTCCAATATAGAAAGTGTGGACAGATGGTATATATATGGTCCTCAATGGTCAGAGTTTTGGTGATTTGGAGCAGTAATCTTTTGTTCTAATAGATCACCCCCCTCTTTATTTCCCTAGAGGTTTATCACACAACTTTTGACTGGCCCTCGGATGCTGAAGTGCAGAGCCGGCTAATGGCACCGTTGGGCATCTCAGAGCAGGAAACGGCCAAGAGGCTAATGGAATATCACAAGAACATTACTAGGATTCTCCCTTCTTATCCTAAAATTTTGAAGGTTATCAGTTCTGATCAGCCTTGTGTGGATGTCTTCTACCAAGGTAAATATAAACTCATGGCATCATTTGAAATATTCCAGAGCTGTTCAAGATGATCATCAAAATATAATAACATCTTATTTACCCAGTATCTTTATAATAATAACTTCTGAGGCTATTGTGTGCATTATATATCGTAGCTCCTTGAAGGCAGGAACTGTTTTTTGCCTCTTTTTGTATCTCTAGTGCTTAGCATAGTCCCTGGCAATAGTAATTGCTTAATAAATTTTTATTGATTGATTGATTGAAGACAGCCAAGCTGGCAATAACTAGAAATGTTGAGCTACCCTATATAAGATTAGTTCCAAATGAGGGGTAGCTAGGTGGTGCAGTGGATAGAGCACCAGCCCTGAAGTCAGGAGGACCTGAGTTCAAATCCGGCCTCAGACCAAACACTTCACACTTACTAGCTGTTTGACCCTGGGCAAGTCACTTAAGCCTAAAAAAGAAAAAGAAAAAAAAGATTAGCTCCAAATGGATACATGACTTGGATGTAGAAGGTCACATCATTAATAAATGGGAAGAACAAAGAAGAAATTTCCTCTCAAATATATGGATAAGGGAAGAATTCATGACCAAATAGGGGGACCAGGAGGAAAAATAAACAATTCTGACTATATAAAATTTAAGTTTTTGCATGAACAAAACTGATTCAGATAAAATTAGAAGGGAAATAAAATATTGGGGGGAGCAGGGAAATCTTTGCAGTAGGTTTTTCTGACACAGGTCTTAATTCCAAGATATATAAGGAATTGATTCAAATGTATAAGAGTAAGTGTCATTTCCCAATTGATAAATGGCCAAAAGGTGTGAATAAGCAGTTTTCAGAGGAAAAAATCCAAATTAACAATAGTTATATAAAAAAAATCCTCCACATCACTAAGAGAGATGCAAATAACAGCAATTGTGAAGTTTCATCTCCCTCCCATCAGACTGATAAAGAAGACAAAAGAGGAAAATAACAAATGTTGGGGAAGCTTCAGGAAAAAAGATAAAGTTGGGCACTGTTTGTGGCTGTGAATCAATCCAGCCATCTTGGAAAAGAATTTGTAATTATGACCCCCCTCCCCAAACCTTTTGACCCAATACCATTATGAGGCCCATTCCCTAAAGACAATAAAGAAATAGGAAAAGGATTAACCTGTCCAAAAATATTTACAGCAGCTATTTTAATAGTGGCAAATTACTGGAAAGTAACAGGGTACCTACCAGTTGGGGAATGGCTGAACAAATATGATGATACATGAGTGTAACAGTACTATTGTACCATAAGAATTGATGGAAGGGATAGTTTTAGAGAAACCTAGGAAGACATATATAAAGCGGTACAGAGTGAAGTGAACTAGGAGAACAATTTATACAATAACAATAATGTAAAAAGGAACAAATTTGCATAACTTAAGAACTCTGATCAATGCAAAGACTAATTATAATTCCAGAAGCCCAAAGATGATGTCTGTCACTCACCTCCTGGCAGAGAGATGCAAAATGACACGTACATTTTTGGACATGACTAATGTGGGAATTTATTTTGCTTGAATTATGCACATTGTTACATAAGTTTCATTTTTCTTTTTCTTTCTTTTTTCCCCCCAATTGTTTACTAAAAAAAAGTTTTAAAAAGAAATGATAGTGAGGGAGCGAATAGACTAGGAAAAAAACTATAAAAAATGGACTCAACCTCTCTAAAAAGTTTGAGGTAATTTAATTTGGGGGCAAGAAGCTTTGTATACTTCAATAGGCCCCTGAGCACATCACTATGGCTCCTGTACAGTTCAATAATTGCTGTCATTAATGTTTTCCTGAGTCATAAAGAAAAAGAGAAATTATGTTCAGCAATCCTGTTTATTCAAAAAAGAGTATAATGTGTTTTAGAAATATTTCCATCTTAAAGGATTAATATTTTAAAATATTTTTTTCCCTGTGCTTAAAGGCTCAACTTTCAGTTACCTAGAAAATTCACCAGTTTCCTAAAGGTCCTGGATGCCTAAGGAATGTCTGTCTGTAATCTGTCAACACAGGCAGAGCAATGCAGAAAACAGAGGCAATTATCTGAATAAATCTCTTGAAGAAAAGGAGATTTAGGATTTGAGGGATTAAATTATCCAGGTCAGACGCATAGCAATCACCCTTGGTCCTGTTACTAGCATAGGCAGAGTCTTCCTAGCCATCCTCAGGGCATTTAATGGACAAAGAGCTAGTCTATGAAGGAGTGTGATGAGTAAGCTGGCTTTGCTTTGAAGAGTTTTTCTGAAACTTGATTTTACCTGAGTGATACCTGAGGTACCATCTTATATTTTGAAATTGAGGAAGAAAAAAAAATCAACCAGCAGTTGAAAGTCCAGAGAATACTACACTTTAAAAAATCCCAGTCTTGTGATTACTTATAATTTTCTAGTTATTTTGCATCTCAAAAGGATCTTTAATAACAGGCACTGTACTTCTATGATAAACAACTGAGAAGTTTATATTATGCCACGATTCTGAATTTATACATTAATTACTTCCAAATTACTTAATTAAATTTAAAAGTTCATATGATTGTTCATAAAGAATTCATGCTTGGAATTGTAAATAAAAATGTGTCTGAATATTAATTATTATTAATTAATAATGTAGAGAGATAAATTGAAAATTGGAATAAAAAAATAATCTCTAGTTTGTTTTTCCCCCTCCTCTCTGCAGTGTATCAACCAGCCAGATATTTTTAAAAGAATAATTAGATGTTGAGACTGTCTGGGGGATCATTATTTCTAATTAACTTAGTTATTTACTGTAAATTAGGCACCATTTGTAAGCAGGCTGCTTTGCCTGTAGCATGTATGCTTTTAGACATTTTGGATTGTGAAAAGGATTGAGGATACAGAATCTTACTTGGCAAGCTTTCTCCAGCCTTTCCTTGTTTGGGGAGTGGATGCAGGCAATAAGTTACAGTGAAAAGAGTATTCTACCCTCATCTCTGACATGTACTAGCCATGTGACCTGGGGTGGGGGAGGGGGGACAATTCACAAAATGTCTCTGGGCCTCAGTTTCCCCATCAATAAGGTGACTGGTAAATAGGAATGTATATGTATAGCTTATATCAGATCGCACGCCATCTTGGAGAGGGATGCGGGGACTGAGGGGGAGAAAAATTTAAAATTCGAAAGCTTATGGAAGTGATTGTTGATAAATCAAAATAAATTAATAAAAAAAAAATAAGGTGACTAGGGTGGACTTAAGGCTCAGATTCCTCCCAACGCTGCCATTCTATGATCTAAGGTTTTCCATTCAACTCTAGTGCTTCATGTTCTAACATTCTATGGACTAGGTTATTCTTTTCTAGCATTCCTTATTCTCAGAACTCTTCCGGATTCATTGTTCTGTGTTTTAACAATCTTGGGTCTAAAGTCTCTTCTAGCTCTAGTATTTTATGTTCTAACGTTCTTTACTCTGTGGTGACTTTCAGCTTTAACGTTCTGGGATCACTCAGTTTCACTCTGAATCCCCATCTCGGTTCTATGGATCTGTGAAGATTGTTGACTATAAAATTCCCACAATTTCAACAATAGGTAACAGGTGCTCCCCTTTTGAAATGTCCTATTTCCTGAAATCAGGGGCATCTGCATCTCTTCTTATGTTCCTTCATTGGGGAGAATCTAGAAACTCCATTTAGAAAGGTCATGGAAATAAGAAAGTATTCTGGGACCAAAAGGTTACATACAGACTTGCAATCTAATTGTCTTTACAATTGCAAATTGCCTGCAAAGCCAGAGTTCTGTTCCCTCAGAAGTCCTGGTTAAGGAGAAGGGGGTCTGGTTTCAACCGGGGGGCTTGCAACCTTGTAAAATATCTGCTGTGAGATCTCCAAAGTGTCTGCCTTTTCATTGCACTGATGAGCCTGCCTCACTTCCCCAAGCTTCCGTCCCTCTGGTTTCAGGTGGTCTCACTTGTTTTCTCTCATGACTTCCTGGCCCCCGAAGCACCCTGCTGTGATAGTCACCTCATTTCCAGGAGTATCTCACCTCCGAGTTTCCATTTCTCTTTGTTCATCAAATGCCATGCGCACCCTAGTCAGTCCTGTGGAGCTAAACCCCACGGTCTCCCTGACCTATTTGATCATCATCTCTTTGGGGACTTGCAACCAAGTTTGTGTCACTGGAGTGCAGCTGCACCGATTATTCTTCACAAATCTTGCCGTCCTTTAGAAGTTCCCAGGAGATAGGCCCTTGGACTAATAAATTTATTAGAACCCTCCATCTAATACCAGGCATGATCAGTAGAAATCAAAAGCAGATTCTGACAAGGGAGAACAGAATCAGTCTGGGGGCTTCACGCCACCCCTCTTTTTCATGCAAATAATAATAATAAGAATAAAGCATGAAGAAGTCCACAATCCTGTTTGATTTTTGAGAAATCACAGTGCGATGCCGTTCACGTACAGCCCGCATACCAATAACAAGTACTCTGAACATGTGGGAAAGAATGGAAGCCACTGTATTTTATAGAGATTGCCGGGCAGTGCTCAGGTGCTTCTGCGGCTTCTCCTGAAATTAACTGCTCCCCTCCTCGCCCCTCTGCCTTTGCTGTGTCTTTCCATGGAGGGCACAGTCCCTGAAATGTAATTACTTTCCCATGCTGCTCTCCTGGCTACTCAGCAGAGGTACAGAGTTTCCATGGTGTTAGAAAAGAAGGGAATAATTGTTCCCATTAAGAAAGCAAAGCAAGGGTGTGCTAAGATGGTTTTCTTGTTTCTTGGTACCTTAAATTTATTATCCCTATAATCTTTCTCTTTAGCTCTAACCTATGTCCAAAGCCAGCACCGGTCGAATGCTCCTTTTACTCCAAAGATTTTGCTTTGTGGACCCACGGGCAGTGGGAAAAGTCTTCAGGCAGCTCTCCTTGCTCACAAATATGGCATTATCAATGGTAAGATTCCAGTAAATATGTTCCACCTCCTTTCCAACTTTTTTTTGGGGGGGAGGGGAGATCATTTATCATTTTTCTTTTCTGCCCAAATGCTCACAAAATTTTTCAGTTAGTCCATCATTGCAGAATAAGTTTTCTCCCTGAAAAATATTGCTATAAAATCAATCAAATAAAACCATATATCCAAGTCCAAACCAGTTAGAACATTTTTCTAGTCGTCATTTTTATACCCTTTAGAGTGGTAGTTTTTCATGCGTTAACACCAGAGATGCCTTCATGCTTTGAATTCTCCGTGGAAACTGTGGGCCTTGCATAATGTGGGCTGTCTTTTTATTTATTTATTTATTCATTTTCTGGTGTTATGCAACAACCCCAGCCCAGGGTCATGTTTACAGGCCAATAATTTTCGAACTGGATGGAGACTTTTTCCTGTATGCCATTTCAATAAATATTTCACCAGGAGTAGAGAAAATATTGAAATGAGCTCTCCCAGCCTTTCACAGGGTGGTCCCAGGTGGCGTTGGATGCCAGCATGTGTTAAAAAGCATAAAGGATTTGAAAGTCAGAGGAAATAGCACTAGACGGGACAGTGTAGTTGGTGAGAGTTAAAGGCCCTACCTCCAACTCTTTGCAGCCCTGAAGCAACCTCCATTTTATTTTTAAAGGTAGAATGTAGTTACATAACCTGTGTCCCCCATCCCACTTTCAACTCTTGAAAGTTTCTAGTGGATCTTCCCCTTGATAAAGGCATTTAAAAACTCAGTTTCTTTCACTTTACACACCAAAGTTACTCAGAATAACCAGGGTTCATGTCTCCGTGTTGCATGTATGAAATGAATGGCTGCTCAGTTATCTGTTTTATTTGATCAGCAGAGAGACATATTCTGGCCAAAATTTTTACTTTTCCTTCCCACAGTAATGGGTTTTTGGTTTTTGTGAGCCAAATTTGTCTACATAGTATGTCCTCTATTTCATTTTATTTATAGAATCAGCCTTGTAAGTCTTTTTATAATTAAAATTCTAGTTGCAGTTAGTAAAACGTATTGGCATTTTGTCACAAATGAAAAACAAGTGCACAGTCATCCTTGATTTAAAGACTCTTTTGTTGTTTGTATTTATTATTACATCTGCACGTGTGCAGTTAATATAGCAAAGACATTAAAGAATTAAGACCTGATAAACAAAGCACAAACAAATTGTGCTGGGTTTTAAAAAATGAGTAGATTAATGAAATGTTAGTTTATCCTTAAGTAATTATCACTGTGCTCTATTTTTATCCTGTGCAATATATTTCTTTCAGTAATGTTTTTATTTGAATTCTTTCCCCATAAACTAAATGCACAGAAATGAACTTAACTGGTGAGATTTTTCTAAGAAAGACGCTAAAAGTGACCCATCATAATTTTTCCTTTCCACGCCATCATTTCTTGATTATATGTTGGAATGGAAATCTTTTTGTTATCTTGGACAACTGAAGATTTGTATCTACAGTTTTATAATCTACAGAGATGTCCTTGATCCATTTAAGACAACGTAAGCAAGTCCAGTTCAGCTAGCTGAGATTTGGGCAGGTAGCTAACGCATCTACACAACTTCTCTGCTGAGATACAAAGTTGCTATAGCGAGTTAAAAGGATTTTTTCTGGACCTTAATAAGGTGGCAAAAGCTTTGTCTTCTGTGCCGGCTCTTGTTCTGTCTCCATGGACACACTTATTAACTGCCAAATCACACTTTTCATCATTTCCTTATAAAGTAAGGAAATCAATAAGACCAAACTCTTCTAGTCAGTCTAGACATATTGAGTGACTATCGTCTATAGAACCTCGTATCAGGCTCCAGAAGTGGATAGATGGAGTAGATAAAGCTTGAAAGTCTTCTGCAGACACTGCTTCTAATATTTGAACATTTTTATGCAGTTAATATTTATTGTTGTATGAGTTGTTGTTTTGGGGTCATTTCAGTCGTGTCTGACTCTTCGTGACCCCATTTGAGGTTTTCTTGGCAGAGGTACTGGAGTGGTTTGCCATTTCCTTCTCCAACTCATTTTACAGATGAGGAAACTGAGGTAAACAGGGTTAAGTGACTTGCCTAGGGTCACACAGATGCATAGACTTTTATAGCTGGAAGGGTCTTAAAGATCATCTATTTCAACTTTCCCACTTGAAAGGTTGGGAAACTGAGTTATGAAGCTTACCCAACTTCATGACCCTCAGCGATGGAGCTCAGGTTTCTGAACCCCTAACCTGATGCTCTTCCAACTATATCACACAGCCTTCTTTTATGAAATCCTACGGCTGATAACAACAACAACAATAACAAAGTTACTTGACCTCTCTTTTCTTCATTACATCTCATTTTATTTTTCCCTCCAAACTTCCAGAATCTTTATGATGAAATATGATGCTGAAGCATCCTTTTCATTACTATTACAGTAAGTTAGTTGTAATGCGATTGCTTTGGACAGAATTGTTATCAGTACATACTCATGATGAACAAAATAATGGGTAACTAATTCTGTTAGTAAAGAAGTCCTCAGTTTTTGCATGTAATTTCATTAGTACTATCTGCTTCAGGCTCAGTTTGAAAAAGGCATGAGTGGCAAAGGTAAGAAGAAGGTTTGGCTTATGCATATAGCAACTAATGTGGAAATTGAGTTGCATGGCTTAATAACTAAATGACCTTTGTTATTAATAGGAAGCACTGCTTCTAAAGATGGTATTATGCCTTTAAATGTTAACGATATAAACATGACCACATCCGCCATATTTTGAAAATGACTCACCAGGGACCACCCTGACCTAGAAGTGATTTGCCGATAGAGTCATCCCCATAACCAGCAATCGATACATCCTGGCTCTTATATACCTAACAGTTCCTACATAATAGCATCATTAACACAATTTGGGATCCGTCATTCAGAATCGTGCTTACTCATTTCCTGGACATTGTTTGTTCGCACTAAGTCAGGGAGTATCAAATTTTGCTCTGTAATTCCACGTTGAAACTAGGCCCTCCTGGATTTCCTATTTTGGTGACATATCTTATTAGTGCCTTTTCTCTTGCCTTCCATTTTTAATATGTTCTTCACCAAATGCATTCTTTTTCATTCCACAGCCTTTGCTGCTCAGTTTCTGTATGATATTTGTTTTTGCTTGGCCATACTCTCATACGAGAAAAGCCCTTTTATTTTTTTCTGTCCACAGTGACCTTTTTCTACCATGCAGCTTTGGGGCTTATTTTTCTCTTCCTCCCATCTTATTTAAAATTTAACCTATGTCTTTCTGTTCTTTTCTTCCCTCAGTCTGCTGTGGGCACCTGCTGAAAGAAGCAGTTGCAAGCAACTCAAATATTGGAGAATTCATCCGGCCATTTTTTGAACAGGAAATGCAAGGTGGGTCCTATTACCTGCTAACCACCAAAGGGTGACAGGTTCTGATGAGAAATAATCCAGGGCGGAAAATCTCTGATACTCTGGGGGTTCACAATGGGGAACAATAACCGGGGTGAGTTAAAGATGGACTGTTTTATAAGCAAAGATTCATTTGCTTTACTCATGAGTAGCTTCTGTATGTATTTAAGACTGATCCCCAAGTGAGGCAAGTTCGTGGACACCAATCTGCTATGCAGTAACATTGATCATTCCTAACTTATGTCATTCAGAATTTAGAACCAGAAAGGACCTTAAAGATTATTTAGGCCAGTGCCCCTCATTTTACTCATGGGGAAATGAAGGTCCAAAGAACGGAAGGAAATTGCCTAAAATTGAGTGAGTTAGTAGTGGCAGAGTTTGGCCTAGACCCCAGGACTCCTAACTTCTACTCTAATGATCTTTCTTCCACAACACACTTCAATTATAATGGTGGAAGGGAGCTATCTCCCTATTTCAAACAGATTTGTAAAACTCATTTTCCTTTATGAACTTGAAATTTGATTTTTGACTATTTGTTTTAGGTAGATTAGATATTCATTTGACTAAAGGTAGAGAGAGTAAAATGATCACTCAAGCTTCCCTCAAGAGTTATGATATTTAGTGTAATAGACACAGTGGCCCATGGGGCTAGATGCCACTTCCAACTAAGGGACTCTAGCTTGGGACACACACAGAGCAGGGTCAGTCCTGGTGGGGACTATAACTCCTCCCCCAGAAGACAAGGAAGGTCCTTCTCAAATTCTCTGGCTTGTTATGCCCCTCATCCTAGAATAGAACTCTGGAGAACAACATTTTCAGCAAAGCTTAGATTTGGCTCATATCCCAAGAGGAATTTACAGGTTCCTTTCTAAAAAGAAACTCATAGACAAAGTGGATTGATCAGGTATAGGACAGCTATTTAATTCCTCTACCACAAAAGAAATGCTTAAACGCAAAAGACTCATAACCATGCACTGACAAATCCTTAAAGCATCATACAAATACTTAAGACAGGAACAGACATTTCACTTTCACCTCAGCTCTGAACTGTCTAAAACTGTCTAAACAATTTTTCAAAACATCTTTATCTTTTGACAAGCTAAGGCGTGGTTTTCCCTCATTCTCCTCTCAGTGGACATCTTTTTCTCCAAGAAGCATTGTAGTAGTTATAAGGAACACTTCCCACAGGGCAGCTGGTACCAACTGCAGAACCCAGGATTTCCAAAACTCCCAAAGGAGCCATTGGGTTAAAAAATTCCTCTCTCAATATCACTGTTTGGTCACCTGTGCTCAGGAAAAAAAAAGCCACAAAGCACAAGAGGCTGCTAAAACCTTGAGAGCCAGTCTCAGGTTCACCTAAACAAGTGCATGCTCTCTAGATGCTGACAGGATAAGAAGAAATCCTCTTCCTTCTTCTGAGGAAGCCCAAGGGATAGCTGTCAGAGTCCCAAGCTACACATTCAGAAGAGAGAAAGAGGAAACTGAAGAATTGTCTCTCCCTCTGAAGTCTGCTGAATGGATAGCTTTTACTGTTCAAAGTCTGTCCTTTTTGATGGATTTCTCTTCCTTCTCCCCCCATCATGGCGGGTGGGAGAAAGAAACACATGGAGACCAATATGGAGGCTTCCAGTTTGACATGCCTTCTATCAAGGAGTCCCCTAGAAATGTGTCACTGCCTAAAGGGGCCTAACTCTAGGGACAATACATGTGATACCAGGCATGCTCCCCGAAAGGGATGGCCACTGTTAACTTTAGATTAGGAACTACTAGAGGGTTTATGTGTTTTATCTATTGTGAAAAGTGGAAGTAAGTTTCTCATAACAATGAAGCAAAAAGAATTAGGCTTTGTGACCCATTACAGTATTTATTTTTTGTGGCAAGAAATCTGGTGAAGACAGTCTGCCAATATCCAGGTCCAAGATTTTATTCCAGTTTTTCTATTCTTGTAGTTTGGGTAATGAAAACTAAGTGTATTATGATTCAGTAGCTTGAATTATCAAGGTGTAAATTGCATAAAGGAGGACTTGGGGCTTAGTGTAAAGAAAAGCTTTTTAAAAATTAAGTTGACCAAAAATGGAATGGATTAGCTGAGGAAGTTCTTATCTTAAAGAGGCAATTAAATGATACAGTGGATACAAAATTGGACTTAAGAGGCAGAAGGACCTGAGTTCAAATCCTACCTCAAATACTTACTAGCTGTGTGACCTTGGACAAGTCACTTAATCGCTCTTTGCCTCAGTTTCCTCATCTGTAAATATAATAATAAAAATTATAAATATAATAAAAACATAAACAAATATAAAAACATAAAACATAAATAAATATAAAAATAAAAAAGGATAATAAAAACATTTTATAATAAAAATTATAAAAATAATAAAAAAGGATAATAAAAACATTTGCCTTCCAGGGTTATTGGGAACACAAAATGAGATATCTGTAAAGTACTTTACAAACCTCAAGGGGCTGTATGGAAGGTTATCATCATCATCATCATCAACATCATTATTATTAAATTGAAGCAAAAACTGGATGAGTACTTGTTGGGGATGTTGTAGAGAGATGTTTTCTGTGCATTCTTTAATATGAGCTTAGGTTAATGATGGTGATAAATTTTTGCTGAAAGGAAAAGTGTTGCAGGAAGATAATGTCCTTATGAAAAATAACTTGCAAATCTCAATCTACTAATTTTTTTATGAGATTTCTCTCTCTCTCTCTCTCTCTCTCTGTGCCAGATAGAGTAACTAATATTGCAAATTTCTGAAAATGGGCTGCCTTTTTTGTTCTTTCGCTACTCAAAAAAGTTTTCTAAGAACAGAGATATTTTTGCTAATTTGTGTTTTGGCCCAAAGAAAGCTTTGGGTTAACAGAAAAGCCCAAAGAACCTTTCTTTGCTAGAGATTCCAGGCTCCAGGATGAGTTTCACAGAGAGAAAATAGGATTTTCTGAAATGAAATGATGTACTTTTTGAGATAACCACAGAAAGGTGTGCAGGGTAGGATATTTTCTCAAGTCACCCTGAACATGAAAGTAGTTTAGGGATCACTTTCCAAATAATTCATGGAACCAAAGAAATAGTATGATTTCTTGTCTTTCCTTTCATCTTGATTTTCTTTTCCAGAGATAGTCACTCATAGGATATTCTCTTGGAGTAACCTGGACGTATCAGTCCAGATAGACGCTATTTTCCTTCCCACAATTTGTTTTGACTGTTCTATGCAGTCCCCACCTAGTGTTTCTTCCCAAGCCTCTCCCTGTTACATTGCATCTCTTCTATCTCATGTCGTCTTCCTGATTCTGGTGTTTATGTAGCCAAGATGTTCATTGCCAAACACAGGCCTCCATGTTTGGTTGTTTTTCTTAATTTTTTTCCAAGGTACAGACTGATTTCTCATTCCTTTAGTAGCAAGACTGAAAACTACAAAGTGACATGGAAGAAGCTTAGTTTTTTGTATAGGATAATAAAACATACAAGCAACTTGAGCAAACTGGCACTGAAGGTTGAGGCTACCTCTTGCCCCTGCCGGGATACCTTCACACAGTTGCCAAAAGACATTAGAATGTACAGGTTTCATGATGTCACTCCAGGATTTGAAAACCAACCATTAGTGGCTCTCCATTGCCTAGAGGACAAAATACCAACTCCTTAGGTTGGCATTTAAGGCCTTTGCCAACCTAGCTGTTGAATATCATTTCACCCTTTGCACAGTATACCTCAGGTAAACTGGATGATATCCAGACAAACTGGATATAAAGTATCTCACACCTATTCAGGGGGAAATGCTGTAGTGACCAGGATGTAAAAGACAGTCTCAGGCTAAATATGAGAACCTTACAGCTGAGTAAACATTTGAGTCTTACATAAATGTGGCAGTTAAGCAGTTCAATAGATCGAGCACTGGGCCTAGAGTCAGGAAGACTTGAGTTCAAACTTGGTCTTAGACGCTGAGTAGCCATGTGGCCATGGACAAATCACTTAACCTTTGTCTACCTCAGTTTCCTCAGCTGTGAAATTGGGATCGTAACAGCACCAACTCTCAGGGTTGTCGTGAGGATCAAATGAGATAGTATTATTAGTAAAATGCTTAAGACAGTGCCTGGCATATAGTAGGCACTTAAAAAAAGCTTGTTCTCTTCTCTCCCATCTTCCATACTTGAATGTTACTTCATTTGTAGATCTTTACATCCCTGAATAGCAAATTATTTCACATATGTGCATTTCATAGTCTATCTCATAGTCCTTAGAAAAGAGATAAATTAGCAGCCACTAGTTCTCAAACCCTTAGAGTGTCAATGAGGCCAATAGAGTGATGATTGAGATATGAAAGACATCAACATCCGTATGTAAGTTGCTGACATTATGGACCTTGAAAAACCTTTGGTCTCATGGGGTTCTTAATCATCAGTCTTACTGATGTGGTTAGTTGACTTTTTTCCCCTCTCTCTTAAGTAAGTGGGCCATTTTAAATTCAAAAAATCTTTGATTTGACCCAGGAAAGACTACTGTAAGGTAGTTGCAACGAGCAGGTAAATTGTAGGGAGAAACATGGTGTCTGGGCTGGCGGGGCCGTTGTTGAGTATGAGAGATGATCTTGTAAGTTATGACCTACAGAAGGTGAGTTCAAGATAGGAGTATGAATTAAAAGTTGGTTCCATGGGATTATTTGGAGACAGCTCCCTAAACTACATTCATTGCCGTAGTAACTTAAGAAAACGTCATACCTCCCTCCCTGATACTATTGCCAAAATACACTGCTTAATTTTAGTGGGTATCAATGAGCCTCTTTGTAGAAATACTGGTAACTCAACTTCTGTTCTATGTTATCGATCCATTTGCCAATTACTCCCTTTTTATAGATTAGTCTTAGTGAAATGACATGTTTTAAAGGAGAATAAACATGTACTACTTTGGCTTGAGGAAGCGAGGGGGAGCATTGGACTTGGTATCAAGTGAACTTGGAGGCAATCAGGTGGCGCCAAGG